ATTACATTTACATCCTAAGGCTTCATTTGATTCACAGGAAGTCATTAAACACTGGCAGTTGTGATGCAAATAATGCTTTACTACTACTATAATTTTCATAATCCCTGCAAGTCCTTCAGCAGTACAGCATTAAATCAGCTGCTGCAAAGACAACTAGTTGCTTGTTGTCTTGACCTCCTTGTTGATAAAATGATATCGGCTTAACAGTCAGTTAACCTACTGGAGTGAAGCTATATAGTACAGTGGACCTCTTCATCTTGATGATATATTCGTAAGTAAAAAAACAAACAAAACAATTGTAAATGTTAATACTGCATATTAGCTTTGTTGCACTGTTGGAACATATAGAGATCTGATTAACAACAATCAATCAAGAGAATAAATTAAACTATTTATTTTCTATGTTTTGTGAAATCAAAATGAATTTGAGAATGAGACATGAAGTTCTAATCCACATCAAGGTGTGTTTAGGGACTTAAGAATGTTTAAATCCTTGCTGAGGGGACTTCTTAGCTGCAGTGTTAAAATCCTTTAATGCACACATCAAAATGATTATCCTACTTATACCCTGGTCATTTGCCAAAAATGTCAAACAAGAACATTCACATATTTTTCGACAGGTTTTGAAAAAGGTTCTGAAGTAAAAGTCAGCCCTTTTCTGCTGGGGGTTGCCATTGTTTCAGCATATCGCCACGGTTACATAGGTATTTCCTTTGTTACCTGCATTTGAATTTAGAACAATGAATAACCCCGCGCACTAAGCAGTTTAGACATGGTTTGTATCTAAATACGTACTATACATTTAATCAAAATAGTTCCAAATGAATCTTAATGCAAAGCAGTCTTTAAGCTTCTCTTTCACAAAAACACAAAGCTGCTTGTTGTTAGATGCGGGCCATTTTATAAGGAATATTTTGTCAGCGCCATGCGGCTGTCCTACCACCACATTACTGCCACTAGTTGAACAACAACCCCTTCCAACAAAGTCTCTGTTATCAGCCTTGTTTGTTCAACCTTGCCACTCATTAGCAGACCCCCCTCTGGCTATATGAATGGATAGGGAAGGTCAATACAATGACCCTGCATGCCCACTCACTGCCCATACTGCAAACAACAGAGGCCCGTGTGTTCTGCAGATTGCATCACAACCCCACTAACGAGCAGAGCCATTGGCCTGAGAGCACTAATGCAATTATGCAACACAGGCACTGTGAGTCGGGGCTATGGGGAAAGAACAATGAACTGGATGTGACAATTCGTGGGTTTGTTACCTTACTGTTACTATACAGAACTAAAGATGCTACACTGTATATACTGCTTCACAAGGAGGAAAAGAGATAAAAAATATATATATATATAAACAGAGCATGGGCAAGCACTGAAGAAAAAGGCAAATAAAAAACAGATTAACACAGAGGAAAAAAAAGATATAGATTGCAGGAAGGATGAGAGATTGAATAAAGGAATACGTTTGACGAAGCAAACAGAGTAAGCGACACAAAAATGGAAAGAGGCCGATATTAGCCTGTAGTATTATGTAAGCTGTCTGGCTGAAGCCGTCTGGGGACACAGCATCGTCAGTAAACAACACCTCTCGAGCTGCCACTGTTTCATCTCCTCTTCTCCAAGATGTGTACAATACATGGAGAGTTCTGTAATAAAGGCTAGTGGTTACAACACTTTCGAACCCCAGGCTACAAACTGAGAAGAACACAACAAGCTAATAGAATCAGAGTTACAATGAAATGATACGATGCACAAATGGAGGGACAGTGTTACATGGGGCTGAACGCCAAAGCAATTTCAAAGACGAAGCTTGAGCTTTTCCTGACTCGACATTTTGACTTAGTGTTATAGCTGGGCCCCAGTTATGGCTTTAGCTTTTTCACATGGTTGAGTGAAGGGAGAACAACTGTTGGTCACCTCGGAATCTCAAACACTTTCAGTTTAAACTGTGACGTTTAAACTGCAGTCCTGTCAGCTGAAGACAAACTAAAGCACAACATGTTACACTTTCTTATGCACACAAAATAATAAGCATAGGTTCATTCAAAGCAATAAATTAAGTCATTTCTTCAGCTGCTCTGGGGATTATTATCTTTATGAGCACTTCCCCCTCGTAAGAACAGGAATCCACGGTAGGGAAATGCCACAACTGCAACCACACGCAAGTGTGTAGAGAGGATCTAAGATGAGTACCATACAACAGACAGGTCATACTCATAAAAGATAGCAAAGAGGTGACAGGGGATACATGTCTGCCCAGTGCAGAGTGCCCTACAGTATAAACCAGCCCACAATGAATGTATACTTAAACTGAAAAGTAGTCCTTTCAACAAGTGAGCAGACTTTTTGTATGTGTGATTTATTTATAGATGTGTTGAAAGAGGCCTAATTGGAGAGAGACAAACAGGAGAATCCAGAAATGAGCTTATTCAAACACTGGGATCGTAGAGTATGAGGGAGGATGGTGAAGGAGTAGTGAAGAAATGTATCCTGAAAAATGGTCTCTCTGCCCTTCCAGCTAAATCATTTGTAAACACTGCTTATTATTAATCACTTTTGTGGAGAAATTTGTTCAGTGAAAAATACTGCATGGCAGCAAAGAAACCTTATGGATCATTGCACCTCAACGGGATAAAATTAGTGGCTTAAGAACATTATAGCTATCTTGTAGAAAGATTTGATACCTTATAAAAATTACATCCAATTTACTGTTTAATACAGATTTTCTATGGTATTCTTTTATAACATTTTCAAAATCCAATAATGAAAACAAACAAATTATTTTGAAAACAGTCCGTCATTTGATGCAAGGGGTACACTAAAGCAGAATGGCTATCAGCTCGTCTAAGATTACATTCCCCATACATAGTCTGGATTCCCCAGGTACCGGTGTTAAGTGTCGAGCATGAAGATAAGAGGAACTTGATTAGCAGGGGTGCTATATTTACTGCCATTAGACGAGACCTTTTACCCTCTAAGGTGGTCCAGATCATCGGGAAAAATCATCCGAGGAATCTTTATGTATCACAACAGGAAGTAGGTGACAGGTGACAGTTTATGTGTTCAAATGAAGTCATCATAGGTTTGACAGTAAAGAATAAAATCTCAGTTGCTATGCAAAAGTTTAAGATTTTCTGTTTATGAGTAGCCTCAACTATTTATCTCAAACACTTCCAGACTATCCTGAACAGTCACATACTTCTATTTCAATGATGGGCATTGAACTACTCCGCAATTAGCTACACAAACCTCATTACTCTCTTACAGAGCAGTACTGCAACTAATGACCGTAAGTATGCATCAACATATTATATGCTTGCATATATGCTTAAATATTTGTATAAATACCAGGGCATCTTTAAAGGGAACTTTGCATGCCAGTCAGAGAAAGAAGAGTATCAAGCATTCACATGAGACTGTAACCCAAGAGCCTTGTGTTTGCTATTATTCTGTAAAGGCAACTTTTGAATGTCTTTGTCCTTAGGTACATCCGCCTTTAAAGAAATCAGGAAGGAATGAGGAAGAGGAGGGCAAAACAGAGTGACAATAACAAGGGAATTAAAGTTTTTAAGCTGCTCTGTAGAGCCCTGATAAGCCCTCTGACCTCAAAACATTCTGTACTTTCTTCTAGAAAATATAAATACGCAAATCTGTGTTCAAATTGGACTCATTTTGGTCTCTACAGAGGAACTACTTCCTTAAACCATATCACAGGTGATACACATTCCGCCAAGCAATGAAGTCCCATCTGTCCCAAATACTGCAAATACTGTCTAACTTTCATATCATAGTAGTAATGTACAGGGACTGGAATTTACTGAATATCTGTTAATAATAGCACATTTACCAAGGAAAAATGGGGTGCTCTGTGACGTTTACAGGGAACAGACAAAGTGTGTCACTGTATGTCAGGTCCAGGAAAAAGGGAACCGAGCGGACCCATGCCACGAACCGAGGCTGGGAACCACCCCTCACTGTGTACTCAAGGGGTCAAGGTGACATTCCACAACACCTCTGAGACTGGCCTAATGGAGGGATTGGTGCATGGCTTTTGTTGAGTGGGAAAGAAGAGACCATGAAAAAGTGTGTAACAAGAGATGGAAGTATGTAAAAGGGACAGAGGGAGGAAAATGAGATTCTGGGGCAAAAATATGGGAGGGCAAGAGGTAAAGGAACGTTTTTTGGAACTGATCTAAAACTTTTTTCCACATTAGGTCAAAATATATAAATATATCAAAATGCAAAATTTTTAAATAACACTTAAACAGTGAATTTCTGCTGTATGTATAATTCATTTGAACTTTCCCTTTTCAGTGAAAAACATTTATTTCCTCCAGCCTGAATCAATCTTCTTGTTTTCAATCCACAAAACTGTAATCTAAGTTATTTTCTGATGCTATTTCTGAGGTGATCGTGGTAGCAGCCACTGTTTTATTTGACACCATTTCCCCTGTCCACTGTCACAAAAGACAAAAATTCTTCTCTCAGTCTATAATTGTGGGTTTTGGCAGAACAGATAAATACAATTCCCTTTTGGTGTTTGGGTTGTAAAATCTATTCACATCTCTTTTAATTTGAATTCCCTTTAAAGCATCAGTGTGAGCATACCACGTAAATATGATCACATCATAAATTAGTAGACAGCATTACATGACATGTTTGTGTACTGAAACTTGAAAAACAAATATATGTAAATCAAACATTCATATATTGAAATATTATTTTAGTTTTTGTTTATGATTTAGGTGGACAAATTAAATCTATATTTGTCAAACCATAATACCCAACCTTCAATCCACTTTTAGAAACTGTAATTTAATAGATAAAGCGCTCCTGTTTTTGGCATAAAAATTCACATTAGTACATCATTTACTTGTCAAATGCAACCCTGCAATGTGTGTATATTTTGTGACATTTAACTCTGAAAGCCTGACCTCTCAACCAGCAGAGTGCAGGTGCAACAGTCCATCAAGCAGAGAAAATGTAACTCTTACCGTCATAAAACCAAAAGACTGGAGACTTGCTAAGAAGAGTCAGGTATAGGTGAGCCGTGAGCCCCAGTGCCTTTTCCTTTCTCCTTCTCTTCTTATATTCTGATTTGTTTTGTCCTTCCTCTTCCCTCTGCTCAGGATAAGTCTCTCCTCCTGGTCAAGCTTTATTCCCAGATCTTACCCCGTTTAATGCCTAGGAAGCACAGAGACAACAGAACGAGGAGAAAGTTAGAGAGCCAAAGAGAGGGAGTGACGGAGAAAGAGAGTTCCCTGTTTGGGTGAAGCAGTGATCAGATACGGCTATTTTCAGACTCAGGCATGCTCGTCTATGAGACTGGAAAGTTACCCCCCAGTGTATATGGGTGGGGGCTAAGTGACAGGGCTGACTATCTCTATTTTACCACACGCACACATGTTTGCATGCATGCATACCACACAGCATGCACACACATATGCACGCAAAGACAGACTATATCTATATACATACACATACTGTACAAGCAAGAACACAGTCACATACTCTTTGGAATTCTATGGTACAAAATACATCAGGTAGGTACACCTCTGAGGAATTATGGTTAAATGAACCAGGGTTAGGACAGCAGTGGGGGAGCGCATACGGAGAGGCGTGTTAGAGACCTTCCACACGCCATCTCTCCTTCCGGGCTTTAATGTCACACAGTAGTCCATGTCGTCAGTGTGGGACTATGTAAAGTGGAGTTCTCCACAGAGAAACTGACAGGAGTGTCAAATTGTTCTCACATTAGATTTTCTTTCACTCTCCGTTCCTGACACTTTGATTGCCTGTGACGCACTAGTCTTTATGTTTTTATCACAAATAAACCATGTGCAGTCACATCAGGCTGTAAATATACACAGAATAATTATGTGTCGACTCACCTTCGTCATTATTAATAATCTTACTGCTGTGTAATCCATATGGGAATGTATATATTTGGAAATGACCACACACACACAAGCTGAATATACACAGCAGAGAGGTCAGCCAGAAGCACCTCTAGACCCCAGACTCCCTGCTATTCTCAGAATGATGATGTAACTACTGCTATTAGCATCTCATATTTAGAGCCTGGATACCTAAAACCAACCAGGCAGCTACTGTGCAATATGCTTTTTTGGACCACTTCCACCTCGTCCCTTCACACCCATACTCGACAATAAACAAAAGGGACACAAAAATCAGCAACTACCAAATTACAGGGTAGTAGGGTTCAAGAACAGTTCAGCAGTCACTACAAAGGAAATCCACTAATTTATGGTAATGCAACACCATTAGTAAATTGCTCAGTGGTGACTTATTTTCCACTACAGAAACAGAAGCAGATAGCTAAAACAACTGTGATTCTAACTGTGGCAGCATCTTTGTCGACAGCCTTCCTTGTGAAAACAGTTTTGACAGTATGCAAAAGATGACTGTATTGTGTTCTGCTCCCACTTTGTACCTCAAGAGGTGATAGTAAGTCACTGCGGCGTCCAATCGGTCCCGTTAATCCAGTGGTTCTCCATTATTTTCTGTCATGCCCCCCGTAGGGGACAGAAATTTTTTCACGCACCCCTGAATTTTAATACTATTGAGAACCTGATAATATTTATCTGTACAAACCACTGTATGAGTTGCTGGCACCAGCATTCTGCATACAATCACCTGTCACCTATCAAAATAGATTAATAAAATGAGCTGAGATAACATCTGCAACAACAAAATTTCCAAGTTCAGTTTATTAACTCAATTTGTAACATTCAAACAAGACTGCTCAGTCTGTGTGATTCTCAAAACAGAGAAAAAAGTGCAAATGATTCACTGGGATGTGCATCTTTATAGACTTAACACAGTAACATTCAAAACTTTTTAAACATTGTAAACATTGGTCACCCTTCAACTTCATCAGCTTATTCCTTTTCAAAAAGGAATATGACTTTTTAATGTTTTGTTTTTTTTGTGCAAAATTTGCAACAATATTGGTTATATTTAACGTTTATCAGTTAGATGTTCTGTGAGTTGTTCTCGGAGGTCGTCTGAAATGTCAAATATATGTCTCCCAATTGTGTCATTAGACAGAGGAACAGTATTCAGTGTCTCAGCACTTTTCTCACCTATGATCCTACCTATGTCCAATGCTGCCAGAGCTCCTCTGCTATGGTGTGAGGATTTTTTGCAGCTTGTGCAATATTTGTGTTCACAACAATTGTTTTAGTCTGGTAGGTAAACAGCTGTTAATGCTAACACTGGCTGTTTAGCAATAGTTACATTGTAGCTAATTGTGTAATATTACAGACAGTTAATATATTTAATTTTATTTATTAGCTGTTTGTTGAAAGAAAGAAGGGCATGTAGAAAGGACCATTTTTATTGTTTCTTACAACCGGGGTCAACACCTCAACCTTCGGGTGAAATGCTGCCCCCAGTTTATTTGACAGGTGGCCAATTCTTACATAAAGTTCCTTTAAGATGTCATTCCAGTAACTAAAAACAATCTCTTGTGTAGGTATTAGGGGTGAGTAAAAATATCGATTCATCAATGCATTGCAATATATTTTTCCCCAATTCTATATCGATTCATTAAATCCTCCGAAGTTGGCACTGAATCGATATCAGTGCATTTAAATCAATATCGAGGTTCTTAACAATACCCAGTCCTAGTAGGTATACAAGGATAGAAGGTAATGTTATTGTAATTTTACAGCGAAGGGTTGTATAATGAATTTCAGGTTGTCATCAATATCAGGCATACATTATAAATGGACCAATTATTGCAAGTGTATCAAAAACAATCATTTTAATTGGGTCAACACCAAGTATTTCATGCATATAAATCCACAAAGGTAAAATACGAAACTCATGAACTAGCTCAGCCAACTGTCAACACGTTGCAAACCTTTAAATCAAACATGGATGGACTTGGTTGAGTTGTCCCGGAGGAGCACTATCTGTGTCCGCTGTCATCGTGCAAAGGATGAAGTGGTAATGTAAAAATCCTATCTACACGGACACAGATGGCTCCAATGATAAGTAGCACTTCTGTAACTATGTCCCCCCCCCAAACATCCAAGCTTCAAACCTTGGGGTTCCCACAGCCCACAACAGTGATTGGTGTGTCAGCAGACATGATCAAACGGCAGATGGCCCCCAGAAATGTCTGGTCACGTGCCAAGGATCAAGGAGGTATGGTGAAAAGCTCACAACTGACAGGTGCTAATGATGTAACCTCGGGGACAAAATCAGGGTAGTATCAGAAGACCAATAAAATACTGAAGGGACGAAAGCACCTGAGTTTAGTCTTCTATTCTAATGTATTTTTTTACCTACATGAGGCTTTGCAAAAGATGGCCGACAAGATCTACATCAACATCTGAACAAGCATCACCAACAATTTCTGGTGTTTGACTTTGTGAGTTTACAGATCGGAATCACAACCCTCATGCATTAAAACTAAAATGCAACTTTGACGAGCACCTCCTGTCAGGTTTTGCATGTGAATGAATGATTTATAAACACAATTAAAAACCGACATGACACAGCAGCATCTTAGGAATGATCTCATTAAAGTACCAGGGCAAACTATTTTTATAGCGACTGACACACACTCACACTCAAACACACCGACACTTTGACCTTTGAGCCACTCCGGACGACAGTGGTCGCGTCGACATGGTCTCACCCGTACAGTTTCAACACCTAATTCATTATCAGCTTCTGCAAGGCCCTGCCATTCCCAGTTAAGTAAGTGGCAGGTTATAAAAAGCAGAAGAGCTGTGCATGTACACATTAGTAAGTGTCACTTACTGGAAAACACTTAAAGCTGGGAGCAGATCAAATAAGGAAAAATATATCCACAAAGCTTTGCTTTGGAACAACACAAAATGCAGAGGAATATGAGCTAAGAGCTCACTGTGTTTTGTGTTGATACAGTTAATAGAATATTTAGATGCAAATTAAGAATATGGAAGTAACCTAATACAATTCAAACCAGCTAAAGATAATTTGAAAAGGTTTAAGGCCTCTGATGTTCAGGACAGAGAGCTGAAAGTTCCAAAGTTCTTACAACGACACAGAGATGATCATGGTGGTTTACTTTACCTCATTAAATATTTAACATTTTTGTTTGTTGTAGTCAATTGCTACAGGATTCAACAAAGCACATAGCTTTACTCGAAGATTATATATATGAAATTCACTTGCCAGTGGACATCACAAGCACCAACATCTCAGACCAAAAACAAAGGCGGAAATAAAATAAAACTCACCGCAGTCTTTCCACAGTCTTCCCGACAATCACCAATGCTTGTTTGGTCGAAATAAATCCTTAATTCACCAAGTTAGATGTGAAATATCCGTGAAAGGGGCTGCTGGCCAGCGTAAGCTAACGTTAATCCTTGGGGACAAATGCACCTGTCAAAGTACGTCCACTAAAAGTGCTTGTTTTTAGGCTCTGATTGTTTTTCTACATGTATAAAAACATTAAGGAAAGGATCCCTACAGAGATATACCTTTTGATTAACCAGGAACAGCCGTAATATTGCTATAGTTCGCCATGCTCCAAAGACAACAAAGTTAATTTGACCTCACACTGTAGCCCCACATTGTAACATCATAACTTCAGTCAAAGTGGACAGAAGATAAGATAAGATAAGATATTCCTTTATTTATCCCCCTTAGGAGAAATTCAGGTTGACACAGCAGCAATAGGGCAAAGTAGTGCAAAAACAGAGAACAAAGAATATCACAATAAAAATATTACTAATATTATTAATATTAGAAGATATAAAACTAAATGAAAGTATATACACTATGCATTGTTCAAGTAGGACATGGAGTGCAAAGTATGAGCAGAAAATTAAACTCGACTAAAAATAAAAAAATAAAACTAAACTGTGGAAAGTGGAAATTAAATATAAATAGTGCAAAAGGTTTGTGCGTTGTAGGTAGGAGTTTTAAACCAGTCTTTGTCTGTGGGGGTTGAGGTACTGGGTGCTGTGGCATTGTGGAGTCTGATGGCTGATGGTACAAACGAGCCTCCAAACCGCTTCGAGGCTCGGGGCTGTGTCAGTCTGTAGCTGAAAGTGCTCCTGAGCTGCCTCAGCTCAGTGTAGAGAGGATGAGAGGGGTTGTCCATGATGGCTTTCAGCTTCCCTCTCATCCTCTTTTCAGTCACAGCCTCCACACTGTCCAGCTCCATCCCCACCACCGAGCTGGCCTTCCTCACCAGCTTGCTAAGCTTGTTGGCACCCCCAGTGCCGATGCCTCCCCCCACCCCCAACAGACCACCGCAAAGAAGAGGACACTGGGCACTACAGACTGGCAGAACATCTGTAGTAGCCGAGTGCACACGTTGAATGACCTGAGTCAATTGTCAACTGTACCAACGATCACAAACTCTGCTTTGGTTGAAATAAAATAAAAGCAGTTTCAGTCGCTCTACTCAGCTTCACACGGAGCAGACCAGTTATGTAAACAAACCAGAGAGAGGCTGTGATTGCAACACAAGCAACGGGAGTGTAATGTCATTCTCTGCATCGGATGCCTTTACTCTACTCTACTATTAATGTTTTAAAAAGCATCAACTGTATAAAACCTATAAGACATAAAAGACCTTTCAGAATTGCCTAGTTTGATCACTCTGATGGGCTGGATACTACAGTAGCGAAAAGGTGTGGTGCTGCTGTTGTTAAAAATGCATGCGAGGACCAGGCAGCAAACTCTTGTCTTACATCATCTAAAGCTCAACACACTGCGTTTGCAAATTCTGACCTACCTGTGTACTCAAGGTAGTCTTCAAACACTTTATCCTAGCTTAGCAGGACAGGCTCCTTAATTCCTCCATGTTGTGTCGCTAATCAGTTTAAAGAATGTCTCAATCCTTGAAGACTTAGAGCCTTTTTTTAAATTCAAGCCTTTTATATTGCTGCGACAAACTTAAGACATACTGTTCTTACCACTGAAACAAATATATTAAATCTGGACTGGACTGAAATGGTATACATGCAAATAAAGTGTACAAAAATAATTTTGCATTTTATTTATGACAATATGCACTTTCTTTAGTATCCTCTTTTACGCTCTCCACATCATTGTAAATCTGTATCACATAAGACATCAGTATGCCACTGTACCCAAATCACTCAGGTGCTTCCCCTCTTGTTCATTGTTAGTTATTGCAGTTATAACAGTAACAAAAAGCAAGGTATGATTATAGATGAATAAATAAGGGAAAAATGGACCTGAACTTTTTGTTTTTGCACAATGTGATGTTATTAGTTACTAATTATTAATTCTTAATGATCAACTTATTAATCAATAGATACATTCAGCATCCTTGGCTGACCCAGAATCACTGACCATTCCACATAATTTCCACAGTTGACAAAAAAATATATATTTTTATTAAAAGAAAACTGGCTCAGCATTTTTTTTTTTGCAAAAAGTCCCCATCATCAAACAGCTCAGTCACTGAGAAAGCTCAGGGAGCAAGCATGCCCTGCAGGCGGCCCCTATTATCAGTGAGACTAAGAATTAGGCAAGCTCTTCACACATCACTTGAGCCATGACATCAGCTTCTGAAGGAGGGCAGAGAGGGGGGAAGATGAAGGAGGAAAACACACCAGAGGGACAATGAGAAAATAGAGGGCACCAAAACAAGGAAATAAACAAAGAAGAATTAAAAAGGGGTGTTTGTGTGTGTGAGCCAGAGAGAGTGACGGAGAGAGAGGAAGAAAGTGAACTATGAGAGTAACCCCCTGTTACATTCTGTACTTTCAGGAGAAATGTATCACATTCTCCTATTCCCCGATGGCCTGCCTTGATCCCCTTTCCTCCTCCCTCTCCCTCTGCCTCTCTCACTCAAAGATGCATGTACACACACACACACACACACACACACACACACACACACACACACACACACACACACACACGCACACACACACTCTCTCTCTCTCTCAGCAACCCTAAACTGGCAGGTGCAACTGAGTTAACGCTAACAGAGACATACTTTCTGGCTCATCAATCAAGTCAAAATGCTATGATCGCCCATTAAGTGTGTATATTTAAGCCTCTGTGAGAGGCTGTTTATTGGTACAGCAGCCCCCCATGAGACAGATAGCAGCCAACTGTTGCACGTCATATTGCATCCCGCTGTCTCACTTCCTCTCCCCCAGACACAAGCATGCAGTCATAGAAATACATAAAATACTACATCAAAGACACCGTCTAGTAAAGAAACATACACACACACACACACACACACACACACACACACACACACACACACAGAGAGAGAGGCCAGGTAGGCCACACTGGGAGCGGTATGAGGTTCCCGGAGTGATAATGTTACACTTTGTGCATTCTGGACACCTCCCCGCTCTCCCGGTTCACCCAGCATTCAAATGGGTCTTACAGATATCGTCCATCGCTGCTGGCTTTTTTTTTTTTTTTCTCTCCTCCTCATGACATCATCCTTTTACACCAGTTTGTTTAGCATATAGCACCAAAGAAACACAGGGGTGACTATCCCTCACTCCTTTCTGTCAGATCTAGCATATGACATAGGCAACACAGCAACAGATTAGTCTTAAAATATGTGACATAAAGTGAGTCAGAGCCACCACTGGTTTTCACCCAAGCCCTCAAAATTACAGACTGATTTAAACCTTTAATAGGTTTAATAGGTAGGTGAATAAACACAAAAACTCTGGTAGCAGGATTAAGGAAACAACTGTACCTCTGTGTTGACATTACAGTGGCCCTGTGAGGCTTCACAATACATTATACTCATGTAGCAAATGTATTGATGGGTTTGTGTTGGTGTCATAAAATAAGTAATTCAAGAAGGCACAATACAAAACTCAGGAATCCTCAGAGATTTGTTAAATAATTTTTGTAAAGATAAACCTGCATATTAGACCAAATAATGTATATGTATGGTTCTCATTATTGCACATAAAATACTGTACTGCACCACAATAGTGCAAGCTAACAATAGAGATTATCTTAAGCATTTGGGATGTAGGTTAAACATGGATATCTCAATTCATGCTCATTACTACCAAGCAGCCTGTTTACATCTCTCATGCTGACTGTCTTCAGGCTGCTTCTAATGTTCAGGAATATTTCTTTTTCCTCTCTCCACCGCTTAAAAGCTTGTGGTTTGAGTATTTAACATCCTCCCAGCTCTGACCGCATCTTCCTTTAATGCACTGGAAACAGAAATCCACCGGAATGCACTTTACCGCATCCCGGATGAGCACATTCATTTGCCCCTGGTTCACTCCGATTACAACTACAGGGTCATTGTTTGTTTGTAATGCACACTTTAAAAAAATATATAATAATAATAATAATAATAGCATGTTTACCTCCTCAAACAGCACGGAATACAGCTCGTGGTCTGCTAAAAGCGGAAGATAATCGCCCCCCCTTTACCACCCCACTATTAACAACAACACTGCTGATATTGTGCCTTACCTTAAAACGACCGCTGCCTCAACACATCGTCGGGCAATCAGCCTCTTCCATGTGAGAAAAGGGCATCGCTCATTCGCTCTAACAAGCGCAGAAGTGCAGACACAAGGAGCTAGCGGGCGCTGCGGAAGCTAGTGCTGCGTCCGTGTGATGAAACTGTACACCTGTTTTTCGACGCGCATGGATGTTCGCTCCCTCCCTCGGGGGTCACTGGGGGGGGCTCAGATAGCAATGCGGTGGAGCTGTCCTGTCCCCACTTCTTTTTTTTTTGTTTGTTTTTTTTCTCACGACATAAACCTCCCAAGGAAGAGGCGACACACCGGCACAATTAGTTACCGCATTTTTTTTTTCTTCTCGGGACTACAAGCGCCAGTCGCACCGCTCGGTCTCACACACACACACACACACACACACACACACACACACACACACACACACACACACAACTCTACCTGGCTCTCGAGCACTCGCTGTCCACAAATGGACTGAACCTGCCTCCCGTTTCCGTTTTTTTTTAAAATATTATTATTGAATGATGCCGTGGCTTCGTGCGCAAAATGGCCTCTGTTATTTTCATTCAGCAACAGTCTACCGCGAGCTTCTCATTGGGTCTGCGCGTAGTCATGGCAACGCCCGCGGTTCAATCAGTGCTCGCAGAGGACACACAGCGGGCCTGAGAGCAGCTCGCTGCTATCAGGAAAGTGCCACTTTTCTTCCTATCTGCAGCCGAAACGCAACAAAAGAGTGACCTCAGCTCGAAGCCGCTCTACGGAGGCTGTGCGGGGCTGTGTGTTCACGGTCAGAACATGATAATAACACAGGCCAGGCTTAGTGAGTGAGCCACAGACCTGTGCTTAGAGTAATCAAGAGCAACGTTTGTAACATCGTGTGTTTTACCTGGCAGCATGTCAGTGTTTCAAGGGAAATGTTGAGATATTAATGACAAGTAAGTTATATATTGACTTCCTTGTAGAATTACTTAATGGTTTGAGTAACCTCAGTTGTGTTTTCAGGATAGGGTTACAAACTCAATCAAATATTTGCAAAGGAGAAAGCTCATAGTGAATAGAGAGCATCTGGAGCATAGGATGTAGGTTAATCAATGATATTTTACTATCAGGTAGGGTAGACTATAATCTACTTCTATGTAAATATTTGCCAGGACAAAATGTGAAATTGTGAATAATTTTTTATTTGTTCCCAGGTTTTACCTTTTTAAAGGGTAGAATTAAAAAAATCTAACTACAGTGTTGTGTTGTGTTTTGCATAAATTTATTTCTGTAGTCAGCTTCTATCATCATTAATCATTGTGGAAAATCCACAGATGAAATGTTTCCGTGTTCACACTGCATGTGTTGATTTTTCAGTTGTTGACAGAGAGCTGATTATATGGCAGCAAAATCCACTAATGATGTGAAAAGTGTTAAACCCAGGTGTGGATTTATATTAGCACTGACATGGTGCTGGTTTTAACACACAACATTTTAAATTAAAACTGACATTATTGCTGTGAGGTCTTCTGCCCTCGCTTGTTAAATGCCAGAAATTGAATTATGGTTTTGTCTCTTTAATTGATGCCCAGTAACAAAACTGTATTTGTTTTAACTCTGTCTTTATTAAGCAAAGCCACTGGACCGTGTCTTGATTTTTGATGGCTTAACTGGGGATTTCTCCCCCTCCGTGTCTGCCTGTCTCCCTCTTTCTCACACACGCACCAAGCTGTTAAATTATTTACGGACTGGATGGCAGTCCTTTATAGTCAATACTAAGGTATCCTGTGACCATGGCAGAAAATATGGCCTTTACACATTTATCACATTGTTTTGCTTTTGTTTCAAAGGAAATAGCGCGGCACTCTGTCCTTTGTGTCTATTCTATTGTATTTGAATAAGCAGATAAACCAACAGGTTCAGAAGAAAATCTTTTGCACTAATTCTATCAAGTCTCAGTGCAGACATAGGTCTGTAGACTGGGAGTGGGACAGCAAACTCTATTTCTCATGAATTCTTAAAACCAAAGATCCTATTAGAGATGGTCTAGTGAGTTCATATGAAATCAAACAAAAGAGAAACATGACCCTTTCACCTCATGAAAATTACACTTTTGCATGGCATCTATTTAATATCTGACCTTTGATATCCTCACGTAATGGTGTCAACTCCACTTTATGTGTTCACCTATAAAGCTCTGTCGTGTTGTTATTAGCTTTGTGGTGATGCAACGCTATCTCACATCATCAGCTCAACTACCACTGCTTAACCGCATCCTTATAATGGAACCACTTGCGTAAAATTAAATGAAAAAGCGACCTCAAAAGTGATGCAGTGCCTTTAAAAAGTCACCTGGTTTAATGTTTATATGAGAACGTTTTCATTCTAATTATATTACTAATGGATTTTCCTGTCAGTTGATTTAGTAAAGTGAATATGTTAAATATAAGTAATACCTTAAGTTGCATTAACAACCAATAACTTATCAGTAGCTTTAAAGCTGCAGTGTTATTTTGTTGTTGGCACATGCATGAAGAACCCTTTCTTCTCTCAACATTAAAGCTGTACAAATTTAGACCGTTATTGATAGCTGACCTTTCTGAAGTGTCAACAAGACCACATCTGTGAGTGTGTGTGCATGCATGAATGCATGTGTTTGGTCTTTTATCACCAGCTCTTATGAGCCGTATAGGCAGCCGTTACTGAATCTAGCTGTTGTCAAGTAGGTGCCTTTTTATAGGTGGTATGTTATCCACAGACATACTCTTAGCAATTCTTTTCTGATGGGGCCAGGGAGGATGATGACGATACATTATGTCTGGTATGCAGTCCATTGGTGATACAGGTGCAGACATTTTAAGGGCGGAGCTTACGGCATTACAGCACATTATAGAACAAGACTTATGGTGTGTCTACACAGGAGGCTTGTCGGCCACATTTTTCACTCATCTGTCTCATGCATGTCTGGCCAGTGTCGGATCTAGAACAAATATCCGGGGGGGTACAAGATTTACAGCCGTGGGACACCAAATTACTCACAAGTGGCAACATAGTTGTGAAAGTGAAACCATTCGGTTGTATGCTCCCCAGGAAGACATTTTAAGAAAGAAAATGACAAAAGTAGTGCTTTTTTGTGGTTTTCCTTGTGATTTAAAACACAAGGAGAAATCATTTCGGTGTAAATAAATAAAAGAATACACGTTTTAAATGGACTAAAATGCATCCAAATGACTGAAATCCGCAGACAGTCCCTCCTCTGGTACCAGGCAGCAGGAAAACATCTCTTCTTACTCCCAAACAGGCTTATGGAGTAGGTGCAGAGAGTGACCTGTTTAGGCCCATTTTCTCCTAAATCATCCACGATGGTGTCAGGCTCAAGAACTGTATCTCCATAAATTGACGATCATCTGTGCTTTAAGTTAAAATTATGCGTGAGTTTAATCTTGGGGTCAGGCAGAGATTAGGTTAATAAACAGCTTTGTAGGTTACAGTTTTACTAGCTAATCCAAAAAGTGACGAGACGATAGCTAGGCCTCCTGGACTGTGTTGCTACATATAGTCACAGGAATCCTTACCCACCCCCTCTGAGAGCCAAGAATGGGCTTTAAGCAGCGGTAGTAGAGGTGCCACCACTGTGCAACATTCATCTAATGGAGTCAAGTGTTGACAGTGCAATCCAAAAGCTGGCCTTGGACAGGAGATATGCTGAAGCTGACCGCAGTCAAAGAACCACTGCATTATAATACACACAAAGTATCCGGATATGTGCCAGACCTTCATCCAAATGCAAATGTGTAATAATGCTTCCCATAATAGTATTTCCCTTTTAGGACGGCAACATGAACCTTATCTTAAAGGGCGTGACATCATCAACCATGTGTCATGCTCTTTTGGCTACAGCTACCTATCCTCATCCCAATCATGTCTGCAATTATCTAATGTCCAAGCCCTTACATATACTACCATCACGCCCTCACGGCCCCTCTTAGAATAGCCCACAATAAAGGAGAGCAGGCTGGCACATGGATCTTGTGAGAAAATAACTCTTTTATCTGAGCAGTGGCACTGTCTCACATCTTTCCACTGTTGCTTTCCAAAGAGATCCACATTTGGAACAGCTGATACTGAGGTTCATTCGTCTGGCCAATGTTAAAGTAGCACAGCGGTGCTGAATGAGTGGATGTCATATGAGTGCATGAGGACATTGTCTGGCAATGACATCATGCCACTTCCACTTACATTCCAGACTTGCTTTGATGTCTAAGAGCTTACCAGGTGAAATGTCTCAGCAAATCTGTTAGAGGACGAGATTGCTGATGCAGAGTCCTGCATCATTCTCTATGTTTAGCAGTGTCAGAAAGTGCAAGTTGACCCTTTACCTTCTGTCTGTTGTTGAAGGCTTATATTCTAATGTTACCAATGTTATTAGACTCCTTTTCACTCCATTAATTGTTGTTAGTCAGAATGCATAATTGTGCTGTGATTTAACAGGGTTAATCCTCACCTTACGTTGATAAAGTGAAAAAAACAAAATGCTGAATTCTGTCAACCAGCCATCATTCAGCCACGGAAATACAAATTAAACTTCATATATCCTAACCCTCACCCTGGCCTCTGCCTTCATGCTGTTCTATATCAATCAAAAAGAGTCAACATTGCCCAGTGAAAATGCCAGTGTCACTCACGTCTCTTCATTTTATATATAAAAGCTGACACAGCAGTGTTATGACAGATGCTGGGGAGAAGCTAACATAGCAGAGCCAAGAAAAATGGTGGAAGAGAAGGGATGAAGTATAACAGAATAATAAATGACACGGTGAAGGACATAGAGGAACAGAGAGTCATAGACAAAATTTTAGCTCATACAAGTTGACATCATCATTTGTCTACCTGTCTAGACGTGATGACCTCATGGGAATCTTCCCAGCATGACAATGCATATTATGACTTCAAAGAACCCTTAAAAATCAAGATGTAGATTGTTTCACTGTTATAAACACAATATAATTGTATTCAAGTTAAATTCCTGTTGATGGCTGTAACATCTGTGGCTGACAGGAGATGAACTTTGACCCAAGCTGGATAATTGCATCACAATACATGAAATGCTGGGCAGGAATCCTGTGGTTGTTTCAACATATCTTAAACTGATAAAATATCTTAACTGAAATATAAATTTGCAACAGCCTAGACCAAAAAATACTCACTGATGGATGTCTCCCACAACCATTCATATCATATAATAAATAATGCATTAACTTTCTGTATTATTTATAAATAACTTGAGTAAATAAAACTCAAAGTCTGAATATGTGTTGAAAGGAACCACTGAAGACTTGTTTTTTAATACTTTTCAATTACTGGTTATCCAGTAGTGCTGAGGATGGCTGAACGGGTGAGACTGGAGGCAGAAAAAGGAGACTAAGGAGCTAATTAGTTTTCTGTAATATTACTCA